ACTCAGGCACCACTAACACAGACAATACATCAGTGGAAAATCATGTCCCCAACTCAACTGAACAAGGGGACATTATGTACCCTAGTGACATGGAAGGCCTCCTCCTGGCAAACTTGGTGATGGGTGAAAAAGTGACCCCACCACCCGCAGTGGTGCTAAGGGCAAGTTCCAGGCTCAGCAAACAAAGAGAGCCCTCATCCCATCCCCTGGAACAAACGCTGGCAAAAAGCAGAAAACCTCACCACCAGGGAGGACATTCTGGTCCTTCAAACATACAGAGCATCATGATCTAGATCCCAGAGCAGGAGCAGCAATCATGCCCCCATGCCAAATCTAGCCCATTGCCTGTTTTTGTACGGCCAACAAGCTAAAAATGGGTTTTACTTTTTTAAATGGTTGGGAGATTAAAAAAAAAAAAGAAGAATATTTCATGACATGAAATGCATTCTTTGCATCGTCCTTTATATACTTGTCAAAACTCACAAAACTGCGCAACCAATGACTATTAACTGTGAATCATAACTAACAACAGAGTATCAACACTGACTTGTTACTGACAATAAATGTATCCCACTAACGGAAGATATTAATAATAAGGGAAACTCCTGGGGTGAAAAGTAGAGGGGGGCATATGGAATCCTGTACTATCTGCTCAATCCCACAAGTCTAAAACTATTAAAAAATAAAGTCTATCAATCATAAAAATCTTCCATTAAACCCTCGGCTATTTACTTAGAATAACCCAAATTCCTCAAATAAAGACTATCACATATGAAAATTATACGGTATACAAATTTCAGTGCCCTAAGTAAATATCACCGGCACACAACCACATCTATTTCTTTATAAACATCTGTGACTTTTGCATTGCAGAGACTGTGTAGCTCCCACAGCCAAAAAAATTTTACTATGTAGCCCTTTACAGAAAAGGTCTCCGGATCTTCCGGCTAGTCCCAGTCCTCTTGTCAGCCTCTCCAGGTCACAGTTCACCATCCCTAGGTTTGTCATGGTAGTTCCTCAGATCACACCTCTGGGGGTGGAATCTGTGCCTCCCCATACGGTCTCACCTTGGGTGTTGGTGGGTCCAGCACTCCATGCCCCATAGCCTGTGAAGAGAAGAACTGTGAGTTAGGATCCTATTTGTCACACTAGACAACAGGTGCTTCTGAGATGTTCCGAGGAGTCAAAAGTGAGCCCCTTGAAGGAGAGTTCATGCCGGTCTCACAAGGCAGCAGAACGACAATGTCCCTCTAAAAGTCCTTCACAGTTGGTTGACTGCATTACCATACTCCATCTGCCTGAGGTCCAAGCAGAAAAGAGCTGGGGGGACTTGGCTTTGAGGGACCTTGACCTAAAGTGTCAACCCACAACTCAGGAGAACACAGGACAAACCTACAGCTGGCCCAGTAGTAGGACACAGTTGTGTCCGCACCCCTGGGCAGTTTGGCTCACCAAGCAGCCTTAAGTCCCCCATAACCGAAAAACAAAGTTCAGAATTTTTGAGACAACAGTGTCTTTGTAAGCCTCATTTCTTTGTGTTTTGGACCCTCCAAAGCTCCCCCGGGTCTTCAAGTCCCAGGGCTTCAGCCTTCTCTCGTGGTGGCTTCCCTTGCCCCTGCGGACTCCCATGACAGCATGTCTGGGCCCTCTTCATCTCTGTGTCCCTGGAACCTCAAAACAGAGCTGGGCACAGGCAGCTATCCACACCTGTCAACAATCCCCAACATTACAGAAATAGGAATACACCCTGTCTCTCTTACCAGAACCTAAGCCACTAGCTAAATGTCCAGGGTGTGCCAACACACAACAGGCACTGAGCACACGTTAGTGTCCCTGAATGCCATTTACAGATGAGAGAGCTAATGCTTAAAGGTTAGGGGACTTGATCCAAAGACATGCTGCTGCTGTTTGCCCTCTGCAGGCCAGTCTCCCCATGCCACACAGCCTACTACGTGTGTGAGGTAGAAAGACGGAGCAGTGATTCTATCAGCAAATGACCAACTACAGGGCACTAGTCTAAGTAGCATATGTTAATCACATAACCTCACAATGCCCCTTTAGATGGGTAATATTTACCCTGTTGTACCCAGAGGCTCAAATAGCTAGTTGCCACTTGCCCATGATCATGAAGCTGGAGAATGGAACTGGAACGTGAACTCAGATCTAGGTGCCTCCTACAGCCAAAGAACAACTATCAAGACTCAGTAAGTCCTGAGAAATAACCCTAGGTGGCAAAGCTACAGAAGGATTCAGGGAGGCCCAACCATCTAAACTAAGCCTGAAGGGTTTTGGCAAACAGGAAGGGAGGGGAATAAAACCTCTTCATGCTCAGGGTGTGCGTGGGGCAGGATTACTGTCTGAAAGATCTGGTGGGAAGTTGGCAAAGAATTGTGAGACCCGGTCAGACTGCAGAAAAGACCGGAAAAGGCAGGGTGCGGTACGCCAGGACCCTGGAGACACCCAAGCACACTGTGCACCTCAGGACCTCTCGCAATTCCTGCTGCTGGATCCTAATACGGCCACCTTTCAAGATCTGTGCTCTCTCCAGCTGTTACAGCCAAGATCAGACTGCTTGCTTCCCCAACCTCATATACTTGGATAAGGACTGCACCTGGTCAAGCCCTACCCCACGTATTCCAAAGTTCGACTGCTCCCTGCGGGCAAACCTGGCTTCCAGCACAGAGTGAAAGTCTCCTAGGAATCTCTGCTTCTGGATTCTGAGACCGGGTCGCTCGAGAAGATCCGTCCTGCCGCAGGGCCCCGAGGCCCAAGGGGCACATTCCCTTTTTCACAGCCCTCAGCCCCCTCCACGCCCCCTCCCCCCCCGCCCCGCGCACATCAGGTTTCGAACTTTGCGCAGAAAAATACCCAACACCTGACCCCCGAAGTCTTGTCCCTAGGCCATCACGAGTCATGCACAGGGCAGGAGCCCGCCGAGACTGACCCCTGCAGAGGCCGCGCTCAACACCGCTGCGCTGCATGGCGGGGCTGGAGATGAGAGGTCCGACCCCGCGCGGCCTGGACGGCTTCCGGGACCGGCGCGACGGACCACGTGCACCGCGCGCAGGCCCCCGCCCAGCCCCACAGCCCGGAGACAGGCAGCCGAACTCCCTCGGCCTCCAACCGCGGACCCCGGGCCCCACGAGCTCTCGCTGTGGCTCCGCCCCCGGGCGCCGCCATTTTGTGGTCTTCCGAAGGGGAAGGCGGGCCTCCGAGCGGCGGGGTCGACCGGCCCAGCCTCGCCGGGGCTGAGGGGCAGAAACGGCCAGGACAGCCGAAGGCGCCCCCCGAAGCCCGCCGCAGCGTCTGCCCGCCAAACCCCGCCCGCCTCCTCAAGCCTCGCCGGCCAATCCGCATGCAGCGCCCCGGGAGCGACGGCTCCGAGGTCCAATGAGCAGCGCGCGCGCGCGCCCAGGCCTCCTCTCCGCTGGGTCGGGTTGGAGTAACCGCGCTCTGGCGTAGGCCCGGGCCCGCGGCCCTCTACGCAGCAGGGGCTGCGTTGTCCAGGCAGCGCCCGTCCGCCCCACCCCGCATTGAACCACCCAAACGAACCTCCGTAGCCCTGCTCCATGTCTTCAGCTCGGCCCGCCAGCAGCCCCTTTTTCTAGGCTGCCACAGAACGCATGCGCTCAACACACCTTCCGCTGTCCGCTACTGGAAGACCAGGAGCATACGTCACTCTTTCTGCACACCACCATTGGCTGGCTTTCACTGCGCACCCGCCCCTGTCGCCCCAGCGGGCCTTCCGGTTGCTTGGGCTCGGCTTCCACAGCATCTTGGGAGTTTTGGTGCGGCCACGGAGTCTTACTGCGCGCAGGCGCTCCCGTCTTCCTTCCCGCCGCCAGTGCGCAGGCGCACTCCCACCCTTTTCTGGGTCCCGCGCGGAGGCGCATGCCGCTCCTTCCTACGCTTACCGTGCTGCATACCAACAAACTAACGAGAAATAAGTGGGATGGGAAGAGCTTTATTAGGCTCGGCTTCCAGATATGGCCACGCGGGTCCTGCCCGCCCGGAGCCCGGGTTACGGTGCGCCCCCGCCACCCTCCTCGTCGTCGTCGGCCTCCACATCGAGGCCCGGGATACCGCGGATCTGGCGCTGAAGCGCCCCACCCAGCAGGGGCACGGCCTCCTCCTCTTCCTCCTCCGGGGGCGGCGGTGGTGGTGGGGACGCGGCCCCGGGGGCCGGCTCCGGGGGCACTGGGGGCTGCGCCGGCGCGCCCTCTGCACCCTCCGCACCCCCTGCCGCGTCGACCAGCGCCCCCTCGTCCAGGGCGCCGCCCTCGGCCTCCTCCTGTTCCTTCTCCTCCTCGGGGCTATCGGTGAACGGGTTCTCACCCTGTGGGGAAGGAGGCGAACGCTGAAGGGAGGGAAGGACCCGCGGGGGCCGGCGGCCAGGGGCCGGCGCGCCTCACCTTCAGGTAGCGCTCCAGCTTCTTGCTGATGATTTTGTTGTTGAGGATGCTGCGGGCCACCATGAGCGAGGACTTCTTGGACTGCTCCATCATGAGCTGCAGGCAAGGCAGGTAGGGCTGGAGAGGCTGGTCTGGGCGCCAGAAAGCCCCCCTCCCCCACCCCACTAGATCTGCGGAGCCCTCCCAAACCCCCCTGCCCCGAGCTCAGCACAGCCAAGCACTCTAACCACGTGCTGAAAGTGTACAAGTGTACCTTGGGTGCAAGCGTAGGGCCACTCTACAAGCACGGAGCCAAGACCTGATCTGATCTTTGCTCGAATGCTCCATTCTTCCACACCATACGTACTGTGTGTAATTGATTAAAGACATACGTCTTTACAGCTGTACAGCAGAAATCTGATGTGCTTACATAAAAACTACAAACAGTGAACAAATTAGGAAACCTAAAAGCCAGAGGTGCAACCCATAACAAGAAGCCAACTGCCCATATGCAAGGAACTCTTTAGGATCAACAGGGAGGATATAAGAGCAGGAATACAAATGCCAAACAGTACATTTAAGTGATGTACCTCCTTTTAACCCATAGAATTCCCAGGATGAAGAATTATACCCCAAATGGCAAAAGTGAAGAGAGACCGTTCTACCCGGACGATGACAGGGTCAACTGTTTACTTACTTTCTGGGAAGCAGTCTGATAAAATGTATCAAAAGTAAAAGTGTCTCAAAAATTTGTCTCAGTAATTCTTTACAAGACTCTAGCCTAAGTTTAAGACTTGGAAACATTCATGCACATAGTTGAAGTAGTGAAAAACTGGAAAGCACCTAAAAGTTCTGTGAAGTAGTTAAATAAAACATTCAAAAGAACACCATGCAGATAGGGCTCATCTCTGGGGCTAAATCGGTTAGACGACTGACATCTCTGGGGCTAAATCGGTTAGACGACTGACTTCAGTTCAAGTCATGATCTCACAGGGTCTGGTCCTAGGATCAAGCCCCATGTGGAGTTCTGCACTCAGCGGGGAGTCTCCCTCTCCCTCTGTCCCTCCCCACCTCTTGTGTGCCCTCTCTCTCTCAAGTAAATAAAATCTTATAAAAAAAATAGGGCTCATCTCCTCCTGTGTTCTGAGAAAGGTGTGTGATGGGCCAGTTTGCACAACATGCCAGAGCCTTTTTGTCTGGAAGGATTTACACGGAAATGCTAAGTGGTTTCCTCAATGGTTTAAGTACAGGCAAATCTCACTTTCATCATTATGAAGATAATGTATGTGTAAAGCCATAAGCTGAAAGAAGATGATAAAAGCCATTTTTGTTGGCATGGGGGAACCCACCCCCAGGAACCCTATGGCTGCACCCCAGCCAACTCTTTACATCATCCTCTCACTTGCTGTTTCTATTCCCTTTTCCCACATTCACCTTTCTTTCTTTACTCATTTTCTCTACTATTTGGGGAAAATATGGATAGCCCTCATAATCAAACAAGTTAAAGATGCACAATTAGGATGCTAGGTCAGACCATTTCCTCTGCACCTCCTTACTTGCCAACACATGATCCTCCTCCCTTGTAGGCATAGAGATGGACACACAACTCCCAAGGGAAGCCCACTTACATGGTTTCAAGATTTTTGCTACAAGAACCAAACACCACCAGAATAAACTTAAATACTTCCATGTTGGTGCTACCCAACAGGTTCCCTCAGTACTCTGCAAAAAAGTTGTGTTAAGTTATAGTAAGTTGGCTTCCTCCACCTGTATTAAAACAATGTACTTATCCTTTTGCCTCCTCAGCAGCATCAGGTGTTACTACTGTTGGATACTTTTGTGGTTGAAGGAAAGAAAAAAGAAGGATGAGGCCTCTTGTGGCATTTCCCGCCCATTAGTGAATGTGAGTGATCTAATACACGCATGGGGCCACCTGCCCAGCATTCTAGGAGGTCATCTTCTCCACGACCTCTGGGTTTCCTGGCTTGCTCAGGAAGGCCTTCTGTAACCTTAAGGTAAACAATCTTCTAAATTTTGCTCTTTTATTTTTTACATTATTTCTGGAATTTAATATATGGTGGGAGGTTAGGGGTCCAGCTTTTTGTCCCAGAAATTAATGAGATAAATTGTTTCTCCATTAAATTGACATATGGGTCTATAATAATCCCTTCTCCACAAATCTGAAATCCAGAGGAAGAGTTTTCTCCTAAGCTCCATTGTGTATGTATGTATATACGTATGTATATATTTATAAGATTTTATTTACTTATTGGTCAGAGAGAGAGCGAGCACAAGCAGAGGGAGAAGCAGGCTCCCTGCTGAGCACGGAGCCTGATGCAGGACTCGATCCCAGGACCTTGGGATCATAACCTGAGCCGAAGGCAGCCACTTAACCGACTGAGCCACCCATGCGTCCCTCCATTGTGTTTTTATACCATCTTTATTTATCCCACTTACATAAGTCATTTGAGGCATTATTGATGGCTCAACTACAAGTCATTTTCCCAGGTCCCACTAGGGATGTTAGTGATCATTACCATGTAGCTGTTCTGAAATCCAAAAACTAATTTGAAAACATCTGGCCCTAGAGTTTCAGATAAGGAACCTGTACTGACTTTGACAATTACTAAGTTCCAAAACTTACTGGCATCTTTCATTAGACTCTATTCTGGTTCCACTGCTTTATTACTATGCCAATATCACTTTTTGTTTTTAATTGCAGTGGCTTTGAAAAAAGTTATATCTGCTAAACCAACTCCCTGAACTCAATTACCACCGTTTCTATAATTTTCTTGACTGTTGGGGCGCCTGGGTGGCTCAGTTGGTTAAGCATTTGCCTTTGGCTCAGGTCAAGATCCCAGGATCCTGGGATCGAGCCCCACATCGGGCTCCCTGCTCCGCGGGAAGCCTGCTTCTCCCTCTCCCACTCCCCCTGCTTGTGTTCCCTCTCTCGCTGTGTCTCTCTCTGTCAAATAAATAAGTACAATCTTAAAAAAAATTTTTTTTTCTTGGCTGTTGTTAGACTTAATTCTACAACATAAACTTTAAAGCAATTTCATCCAGTCCCCCTCGCCAGAATATGACTGGAATCCCATGAACTGTCCACACTAATATGGGGCGATGTAGTGTTTGTTTTGTTCTGCTATTAAACCTCCTATGAAGAACACCATTATTCCTCTATTCATTGAATTCTTATTTCCTATCCTTGGCGTTTCTTCTTAAATCTATATTCTTAGTTATTTTATACACTTTGTGGTTACTGTGAGTAGATTTTTCCCCATTTTCATTTTTAACTGGGTATTACCAGAATGGAGAAAGGCTATTACTTTCTGGTATTATCTTGAATTCCACTCCTTTATTACATTCGGTTAATTCAAAGACCATTTTGTTGGAATCATTCAGCTTTTCTAAGAATATAATCACGTTATTTGCATATAAAGTTTTCATTTCCAGCATTTCATACTGATACTGTTGCTAATTTCTTACTGAACCATCCTTGTATTCCAGAAACAAACTTTACTTATAATGTAGTACACAGTTGAATCACTACCAGATGGGTAATTACTAATATTATACTTACCACATTTATTCTTTAATAATAAACTAATCTACAGTTTCATTTTGGCATTATCCTTATCAGATTTTTGGAATTAGGTTTAAAAATCTTGCTAAAAACACATCAGAGGATAGACTTCCAGCATGACAACTTGAGAAGCTATGTGAACCTACTCCCTAGTGAAACTGATGAAGACTATAGAACAACACAACCCTTTAAAGTCAAAGGAAAAGGTCCTAAGGACATACAGCAAATGAAGAAACACTGAGTAATGAAAAGCTACCAGGCCCAGGTTTTACCAAGGGACAGGCCTTAAAACAGTGAGCTCCCAAATCTCTTTCCAAAGGAACTTATTTTATTCACAAGTGTGTAAGGAAGTTCAAGACAGAGGGCTCTCTCAAAACAGTGGAGGGTGTGGGGAAAAGCAACTAAAAGGAGACCGGTAGATTTGATACTAATATAAGCTAAACCATCAGCTGTCCCCGTTACCAGAGAGAACCAATAAAACAGCTAAGAAGAGCCTCCAGGGCTCAGAACTCTCAATGACCTCAAAAATAATCTGTATAAAAGAGCCTGGATTTATTTAATTGGATCAGATTGGAGAGCAATTTAATGCCTCAAGGCATTGCTGAAAACAACACAGCAATCAACCAACAATTTGTGTAGTTTATAATAGTTAAGTTTAGTCTGGGAAAGAAAAAAAGAGAACCCTGTCAGTCAAAAACCACTGTTACCCCAGGGTGGCTGTGCACTTGCCCATGGCTTCCTCCTCCAAGGCACCCTAGCAAAGGCTTCAGATTTTGGGGATGAGGGAGCTTTCAAAAAATAATTTGACTAGACAAATAAGTACAATAACTGAAATGAAAAATTCACTAGATGGGCTTAATGGTAGATTTGAACTGGCAGAAGAATTAGAGAATCTATAGATTGGTAGAGCTATGATCTGAAAAACAGAGAACAAAGGAAGAAAAATATTCTCAGACAACCTTGGGACACCAGTAGATGACCCAACACATGCATAATGGAAACACCGGAAGATGAGGAACAAGAAGCAGAAAAAAATATATGAAGAAAAAAATGCATGCAAACTTGATAAATCTGGTGAAAACCTTTAATCTAGACATCCAACAAGCTCAACAAACTCCAAGTAGAATAAATACAAAGAGATCCACAAGAAGAGTCATCATAATAAAAATGCTGAAAGCTGAAGACAAGGGAAAAATGTTGAAAGCAGCAAAAGAAAAATGAATTATCACTTAAAAGGGAATCCCAATAAGGTTAAAGGTTGGCTTCTCATGACAAACAATGCCAGAAAGCAGCAAAATAACGTATTTAAAATGTTCAAAGAAAAAAAGTGTCAACCAAGACTCCTATGCCCAGCAAAGCTATCTTTCAAAAATAAAAGTGAAATAAAGACATTCCACAATCAAGAACACCTGAGAGAGTCTGCTGCCATCAGACCTTGTAAGAAATACCAAAGGAAGTTCATCAGACTGAAAGCAAGTGACTCCAGACAGTAATGCAAATCCACGTGAAAGACCAATAAAAATAATTATAAAAGAAACTATAAACGTGTAATTCTTTGCTTGTCTTCTCAACTGACTGAAAAGAAGTTGTACAAAGCAATATATACACATACAGAGACACACAGACACACTTGTACTGTCTGGCCTATAACATATAGAAATATAACAAGTTTAACAATAATGGCACAAAGAAAGTGAGGGGACTAAAGCTGTATTGAACTAATAAGGAAGTGACTACAGATGCTAACTTAAATCCACAGGTAAAACTCAAATGAAGAGAACCAAAAGTGAGAAATAAGAAGGCTAATATAACAAAAACTAGAAATGTGTAATTGCTCTCATTTCTTCTGTAAGCTTCCTTAAAACACATAAAATTACATAAAGTAGTCATGATACTGTATTATACTATTGCCTTTGGGTTACTGGGATTATAACATACAGATAAAATACTACGTACAACAGTAATAACACAACAATCTTCTATGTAGAGAGAACTATATAGGAGTAACTCAATCCCACTGAAATTATATCTGAAAAAGATCCTGAGAAATTAATATGTATAAAGCCTAGAGAAACCACTCAGAAAATGATGCCCCCCCCAAAGAATGTAGCACACACAAAAAATCATTAAGGAAATTAAAATGTTACACTAAAAAATTTAAAAAACCAAAAAACCAGTAAAGGGGGAATAGAACAAGAGATGTAAATCTGATAATCTCAGTAGTAACATTAAATGTGAATGGATTAAGCAATATAATCAAAAGATAGTCAAACTGGATTAAAAAAGAGATGGAATCAAAAGATCCAAATTAAAAGAGCTAAAACTTATAAAATTCTTATGAGAAATGCAAGGGTAAATCTTTGTGACCCTGGATTTAACAATGGATTCTTGGCCATGACACCCCAAGCACAAGCCAACAAAATAAGTAACTGGTCTTCGTCAAAATGAAACTTTTGTGCTACAGACATATCAAGGTGAGAAATCAACCCACAGATTGGGAGAAAATGTAAAGTGTAGGTCTGATAAAGGATTTGTATCTAGAATTTATAAAAAAACTCTTTTTTAAAAGATTTTATTTATTTATTTATTTATTTATTTAAGAGAGAACAGAAGTGGGAGTGGGGGGGGAGGGGGAAGAGAAAGAGGGATAGGGAGAGAATCTCAAGCCGACTCGTGTGGAGCCCAACATGGGCGGGGCTTGATCTCATGACCCTGAAATCATGACCTGAGCTGAAACCAGACCAGGCGTCGGACATTTAACCAAGTGAGCCAGCCAGGCGCCCCTAGAATATATAAAAAACTCTTTAACTCAAGGATCTGAATAGATATTCTCCAACTTCCAAGGACATAGACAAATGGCCAACAAACCATTAAAAGATGCTCAACATCACTGTCATTAGGGAAACCCAAATAAAAAATAGGGGTGCCTGGGTGGCTCAGTTGGTTAAGCGTCTGCCTTCAGTTCGGGTCGTGATCCCAGAGTCCTGGAATCAAGCCCCACATCGGGTTTCCTGCTAGGTGGGAAGTCTGCTTCTCTCTCTCCCTCTGCCCCTCCCCACCACTCATTCTCTCTCTCAAATAAATAAGATCTTTTTTTCTTTTCTTTTAAGATTTTATTTATTTATTTGAGAGAGAGAGAATGAGAGAGAGAGCATGAGAGGGGGGAGGGTCAGAGGGAGAAGCAGACTCCCCGCCGAGCAGGGAGCCCGACGTGGGACTCGATCCCGGGTCTCCAGGATCATGACCTGAGCCGAAGGCAGTCGCTTAACCAACTGAGCACCCAGGCGCCCCTAAATAAGATCTTTAAAAAATAAATAAATAAATAAACAGTGGATACCACTTCACACCCACTAGGAAGGTTAGAATCAGAAAGTCCTATAATCAGTGCTAGAGAGGTGTGGAGAAATCAGAACCCGCACACTACTGCTGATGGGAATATAAAATGGTGCAGCCACTCTGGAAAACATCCAGCTGTTCCTCAAGAAGTTAAACAGAGTTACTACTGGACCTAGACATTCCGCTTTTAGATATGCACCCAAGAGAAATAAAAACATATGCCCACACAAAAACTTGTACACAAATGTTCAAAGGCTTGTAATAGCATAATTCATAATAGCCAAAAGGTGAAAACAATCCAAATGCCCAAATTAATTAATTGATAGACCAAATGTGGTATATCTATGCAAGAGAATATGATTAGGCCATACAAAGGAATGAAGTTCTGACACATGCTACCTGGATACACCCTGAAAACATTATGTTGAGTGGAAGCAGCTGATCACAGAAGACCACGTATTACATGACTCCATATACGTGAAATGCCCAGAATGAGCAAATATACAGAGACAGACAATAGGTTAGTGGTTGCTTAAGGCCAGGGAAACATGGCAGGGTGGTTAGGGAGTGATAGCTAAAAGGCACATGATAAATTTATCTTTTCTTTCTGAGGTGATAAAAATGTTCTATAGCTGATTGTGCTGATGGCTGCACAACTGTAATACACTAAAAGCCACTGCACTATAGAGCTTAAATGGGTGAATTGTATGCTATATGAATTATATCTCAATAAAGCTGTGACCAAAATAATAATTAGAAGCTTTCCATTCATTCCTACAGTCTGGAATCTCTAAAAATACAGTACTTAAATTATACTCAAATCTCTATAAATCAACAACCTCTGGTGCTAATTTCTAAGTATCTTCCGTCTTTCCTCACCCTTCTGTACCCCTTTATTAGCAGCTATGGCTTTTTCTTTTTTTTAAACTTCTAAGATCAATTTGAGTTTTTTTACTGGCTATCACTCATTTCACCTAGATTTCCCACATTTTAATATCATGCACTGCAGTCTGCTCTCTTCCAACAGCCTTATCAGATCCCAGTTCTAGAACCTGGTGTTGGCAAGATCCCCACAGGATCTCCTCCACCACCTACCCCCATCCTACTGTTGAGAATCAGTGCATCAAGAAAGACCAGAGATGAATTTGATGGCCGTGGAAAAAGGTTGAGAAATGCTATTTCCTATGCTCCCCCTGGCTGCCATCATCTGTACATAAATCCCCTCTGCCTCCTCCAGGGTGGTGGCAGTCAAGCCTCTCCTGGCCCAGACCTGGTCCTGGAACTCTCAAGCTCTCTCCCCGTTGCACAGCAGCGCCCCCCCCTCCCCCTGCCTCCCCCGCCGCCAGCCCCACCAGAGCTGACCTCTAACAGCCACCTTCAGCCCAGCAGGTCACCCCCTCAATCAGAAAACACCTCCTCTGGCTTGTGTGCTAGGCACTGATGATACAATGGAAAACAAGACTGAATTTGTTTACTTTCTTGCCAGACTCACCCCTTTCCCTGTACCATATCCCTACCCCGTTATCTTAGCAGCAGCTCTGTCTACCTAGTTACCCAAGCCAGAAGCCCGAGACATCCCAGACTCCTGTTCACTTCCTTAAACAGTCCTTCTGCCCAGCCTTTCTCATCACTCCCAAAGTGGAGGCACTCCGGTATCTTGGTACTGCAGTAGTTCCTCGTGTGCCCCCCACCGCCCCCCCGTCCGTCTCCCTCCACACCAGGTGCCACACCAACTCTAATCCTATTAGTGCCGGACTTAAAAACTGCTGCCTATAGGAGTGAGCCCAGCCCCTCAGCCCAGCCCTCATGAACCCCTCCTCCAGCAACACGCACAATGTACACTTCCTCTTGGGTTTCTGAATCTCTTCTGGCTTGTGGCCCCTATGCACACGGAGGTCCCCATATCCCATAGCCTTAAAGGTCCAGCTCTAATGGCAGAGTCCCCGTTCCCCTCCCCTCTCCCTGCAGCTGCACTGATTACACTGCCAGAAAAGTCTACATCTGCCTGCCCCGCCACATCTCCTGCAGTTCCTCACGGGCAAGCAGAGGTTATAACCCCAGGACCTCCCCGCAAGTCAACCCACAGGACGGCGGAAGGGCACTGGTGGCCACTCACCCTGCGGTTGCGGTTGTGATCCATGGTCTTGAGGTGCTTCTGGATGATCCCAAACTGCATGGGAATGAAGAGGTCACAGGCTGCACAGTGGGCTGCCTCTACCTTCTTCACAAAATGCTCCATGGCAATTTCTGCAGAGGGGAGAAGGAGGGTCACCACCGGCTCCAGGTGCCTGAGACAGACCCAGCAGTTTAGGGAAAACACCAGACCAGCTCCTCACCTCGCCCTGCCATTTCCACGTGGGCCTGAGGCTGTTCTCACTGACCCTCCCTGGGGGAACAGAGGGGTGTTGTGACCCCACTCTGAGAACCAGAGGAGGGCAGGCTGAGTCTCTGCCTGGCTGGAGTGGGATGGAACCTCCTCACCTTGGGTTAGATCCTGGTCTCTGTAGATCTGCTGAATCAGACCATCAAGGTCCTCCACGGTTTTCCGGAGTTCCTCTGTCTTCTTGGTCTTATTGGTGACATACTCCTGCCGAAGATACCAAGGAGACACCAAGGTTTGTGCGGGCTGCTCTATGTTCCAAGGGGTCTGAGAAGCTAAGAGCAGCCGTCCTGCTGCTCTAAGGCCCACCTGCAGAAAGTCGGCTGTCTGCTTGGGGAGCTTGGTGCCTACGTATTTAAAGTGCTCCTTGTGGAACTTGCTATCGAGGTGGCTGGCCATCTCCTCCTCGTAGAAGGTCCGGTATTTGCAGAGAGAACACACAAACTGGATCCTGCCACAGGAAAGAAACGAGGGGCTGAGGCCTCGAGGGTCCCAGGGAGCAGTGCTGCCGCCTCACCCAACCCAGCTGCGAGCCCTGAAACAGGCCTTGCTCACGGGCCTCTGAAGTGCGGTCCCAGCAGGGGGACAGGCTGGGACCAGTGGGGTCGGGAGTAGAAAGGGACAGAAAGTCTGCAGGCTGCAGTTACTGCAACGTGGGGGGGCAGGGGAGGAGCTCTTCCTTCCCAGACAGGAGGCTGAAACCCGAGGCAGCAGCTGCTGCAACAGGCAAGGAGTCGCTGGAAGGCTGCCGGTGGGCCTCTCTACCAAGGCTGGGCACGAGCGTGTGCACTTGGCCCAGCTGGGGACCGGAAGGAAGGATGCCCTGGCGTGAGCCAGGTGGCCCTGAGGTGCAGACTGGAGTACGCAGTCCCGAGGCAGGGCCCGAAAAGGTGCTGCATCTTCCTTCTGGGTCTGGGGGACTGAAAGGCCCAGCCCATCCTCTGCTCAGAATGCTTGGGGGTGGTGTCGGGAGGGATGGGAGGCAAGCAGGCCTGGGCTCCTGCTGCCTCATCTTCCTCTTCCAAGAAGAGACCAGTCTGAGCTGGAAGGAGGACGCCCGCCTGGCCTGCCAGAGGGCAGCCTGGAGTCACCTGAGCGAGGTGCTCTGTCTGGGCCTGGTGTCCACAGCAGAAGCCCGGGGTCTGGGGCCTGGGCTGGAGCAGGCCGCCGTGGCAAGGGGCGGAGGAGGCCAGCCGCCACCGAGGCCTCGGGGCGGGTCCCTACCTCTGCCGGACGTCCTTATCTGGGCCACGGGGTCAGCTTTGTCTGGAGAGCCCAGGGGCCGGGCGCCGGCGAGGCTGAGGAAGGTCCAGCAAGAGCAAGAGTCTGAGGCGGAGGAGGAGGCAAGCGCCAGTGCGGGAGCCCTGAGGGCAGACAGACCCGACCAAGGGGCGTGAAGGCCTCAGCCGCAGACAGGCCCGGCCTGACAGGGCCGGCGGGCAGGGCAGAGGGCAGGCCCGAGGCTGCCACAGCCCACAGGTGCTGCCATCTCTCCTGGGCACGACGGCGGCCTCTTGGCAGCTAGCTGGGGTGGCACAGGCGCCTTGGACCTCGAGTCTCTGATGAGCTGGCCCCCTCCCGCAGGGGCATCAGGCCCCCAGTGCACCTCGGGGCTCGTGCGCCGAGTGACCTAGCGCTGGAGCTTCTGGGCAACGGTGCCGAGCAGTGTCGGGTCTCAGGTCAAAGACGCTAGCGGTCGCCAGGCGGCCGCAGTGGGGCAGGGAACGAGTCAGGCCTTGGGAGCTGGGCCTGGCGGGAAGCAGGGTCCATGCACGGCCGAGCAGGTGGCAGCTCCCGAGGGAGGCCAGAGGGCGGCGAGGCGGCAGAGCTATGGCCCTGCTCTCCAGGCGGCAGCCCCAGAGTGAGGCAGAGGCAAAGGAGTGGAGGGAAGACGGTTACCTTTCCACCATGCGGTCTCGCTGCCGCTTTTTCTGCTTGTCCTGGCTCTTCTTGCCTGCCTGCAACTTGCGCTTGATCTGGCCACTATCATCCTGGGTGCTCAGGGCCCCTGTAGAAATAGAGGAGTACAGTCACTGGCTTGGTTCCACCAGGTCAGGGCAGGCCCTAGGGCCTCCGGCTGGATCACCCGCCTTCTACTCCAGACAATCCATTCTGAGAACAGCCGTTCGAACAAGGACTCCGGCCATGAGCAGGGCTGGGCACCCTGGGCTGGGCAGGGAACCATTTTGGGCCTAGGTCCCGAAGAGGGGAGGACACAGGCTGACCCCACCGCTCTCCAGAACACCCATACTCTGCAGAGGGCCACAGGGAGGCTGGAAGGCAAACAGAAGCTGTCTTGGTGGGGACACTGGCACAAGTTCAGAGGGGCCAGGCAGCGGGATGCAGGGAGGCCATGACTGAGGCCTAAGTGCAGCCCCCAGAGGTAAAGACCCGAAAGCTCACAGGGCTCAGCCCACCCCCCCACGGCGCACCGCGGCAACAGTGGGCTGAGGCTGGATTTGCTGTTAGGTACCTGCTGGCGCTCATCACTCAGGTAGGGGGACACGGACTCCCAACAGGGGCTGGAGAGGCGCTAAGGGAGAGGACACGCAAACCAGAGCCGTAAAAACTGCACCGAAGGTCCCAGCTCAGATACCAGCCACTGAGGACTTGGAACTGTGCACTACTGAAGGACCGAGGGCAGGGAGTATGCCTGTGGTTCCCCCCAACTCTTTTGCTTACTGCCCCCACCGGAAGGTAAAACCAATGCCGTCCACATTTCTGTCTCAACCCTGCCCTCGGCTGGATCCCTCCAACTGTGAGCGCCTGGAAGTCTCCGCGGCATCCAGGCCACTCAGAAGACTCACCCTTTTCTGCATCCTCTTTGCTTTCTTCTTTGCCTTCTTCTTTTCCCTCTTCGTCTTCTCCTTCCTAGGACACCATTTCAAAAACCCCATGTTAAAGCGTGTACAGTTGTTTATAATGGCTCTGAATGACAAGGCCCTGCTAAGTGCCAGGCACTAAGCCAAAAGCCTCACAACCCCGCAGCAGCCCTTGCACAGAGGGGCTCATTCTACCGTTTCCTGATAAAGAAGCCCGGCCTCCGGCTGGATGGCCTGCCTACAGCCTGTGCTCTCTCCACCAGACCTCCACCTCCCTTGTGCTGTTCACACGTGCATGATCAGGATGGCCTGTGGCCCCCGTGGAGAGCCCTGCTCTGAGGCACAGGGGCTCAGCCAGCCCACTCTTCACAGGCCCCACCTGCTGACAATGCACAGAGCCCAGCCACTTACTGCTCTGGAGCCCTTCTCCACAGCCTCGGTGCCTTCAGTGCCCTCTGCGGCCTCCCCCTCAGTGCCCTCATCTGAAAAGTATGAAGAGACAAACTCAGCCCAGGAGCCCCACAGGGTGGGGGGGCAGGGAGCAGCAGGCCAGTGCCCAGCTCACCATTGTCTGAATCACTGTTGTCTGAGCAGTCTGTCCGGGTGGCTTTGCTGTCTGGCTCATCGGGACTGCCACACTGCTTTCTCTTCTTCTTCTTGGTCTGGGTTGGAAAGAGGGAGCTGGGTCAGGGCAGGTGGCTCCATGCTCCTCGCTCCTTGCTCCACCCAGTCAGGGGCCAGGAGGGATGGCCTCCTCCACTCACCCGGAAGTCGGCCGTGGTCCAGGTCTTCCAGGTCCGCCTCATCTGCTTCATGCCATTGCCAAACCCGAAGCCAAAGCGGGAGCCACCTGGGAAGGCGCCCCCGCCACGCATGCCCTGGAACATGCTGTACTCGGGGATGATGTTCTGGGAGAAGAGGGAGGGCAGCCGGGAGGCACCAGGCATGCACTGGCCCCGGGCCCCCATGGGGTCTTCCCACATGCGCCCATAGCCCGAGGCCATCGGCCGGCCACTCCTGGAGTCCCGGGCCCAGCCCTGAGCCCGTGGGCCAAAGGTGTCGCCGCCACGCATGCGGAACTGGTCGCGGTAGGCATCGTATTGGCCCTCGTAGGCCATTTCCATCTCGGGGTCAAGTTCGCCATAGTCGTAGCCTGACCGGTATAGGTCGCGCTCGCTCAGAATGGCCCTCGAGTCACAGGCCTCATAGGAATCATATCTGCAGAAGCAGGTGGCAAGCATCAGGGATGCCCTCAGGTCCCATTACCCTTGGGTGGAGCCTACTGTTCCTGCCTTTCCCCAAAGCTCCTTGTCCTGGGGACAGGAAGTCCTACTCTAGCACCTACGCCACCCTGTCAGAGAGGCTCAACGTTCAGGAATGCCAATAAAAAGGCCTCTCAGGAGCCTCTGCACCAGCTAGGGGACCCAAAGAAAAACTGACAACGGGATGGAGTAGGTCTCAGATAGGGGCAGAGACACCCTGCAGCCCTTAGCCCTTTGGAAGCATGTACATATTTGTGGTAGCCACAATGCCCAAGGCTATTCCTAGGGGGCAGAACCAAGCACCCCGGCGTCCTGTGGTATGCGGCAGTCAGGCACACAAATACTTGTCCAAAAGGACTGATGATGCCCATGGGAAACACTGTGCTGGTCTCATCCCTTTTGGCTGAGGGAACTTCCAATCCTCCAAAGGCCCTCACCATCCAAAAGGAGAAGGGAGACAAAGTGGAGAGTGTTTCCCGGGAAAGTCACTGTGATTCTGCCAAGGGACTAGAAAATAAGCTCTATCACATCAACCTTGTGGGATCAAACCCTCCACAGCAACTGGGAAGGCAGGCCAAACCTCCCTCCTGGGAGAAAGAGAGTGCCACAGAAAGCTCTTCTAACAGTGGGTGCAGCCCACATACCCCAGTCCCTAACCCCACACATCTCACAGGCACAGAGGCCCCTCCGGCAAACCTGGGCAGCCAAGAAGTGCCAGCAGCTGTGGCAGAAGCAGCCAGCACTACCCAGTTGTCAGCCCTCCCTCACCCCTGCTCCCCAGTTCTAGGCTGTAACAAGAAAGTCCACAGGCAGCTGGCACCAGCAGCGACAGGGTCCACACAGCCACTGAGCCAAAAGCCAAGCCCCTTCTGCCTTAAACAGCCTCAGCTCCAAGCACAGTGGCTGCCAAGCACGAGGGCATGGGGTATGTCTGGGGATCCCCCCCACCCTTTTTGCTTGCTACAGAGCCAATGCGTGCAAGTCCCTTTGGCAGCCTCTGCCCCCAGTGGCCCTGGGGCCTCACCCGAACCCACCAGTGCCTGGCTCGACCCCTCCTTACTCTCCTCCCATCTGTCAGCTGGAGCCATTAGGATGCTCCACGCCAACATGTGCCCTCCTCACTGAAGCCTCTCACTAGGGTACAAGGACCTCTGAGCCAGCACCAGTTTAGAAAGTGAGAGACAAACACAGCATGATGCTGCGGAATAGGGCACATCTAGGAGGCAGGCCCAGTGCCACCACCTACTCCTGGGTGCCTTCAGGCAAGGAGTGTGACCTCTTGTGTTTCAAGAATGAGGATGACAACAATTCCTTACAAAGGCACTTTTGAGGCCCAATAGGCACACCTTTGTCAGGCTCAGAAGAGTGGCCTGGAAGTATCCACATCTGCTCTGTCTCTTATGTGGGGACAGCCCAGCTCGCTGTGGTCAGCCCCAAAGGCTCACCGCCCTGCTTCATGCCCAGCCCAATCTGTCCTGCCCTGACACCATGTGGGATACAAAGTCTCATGAGAACTCCAAATGGCTGTCTCCAGATGGAGGGGCCACTTCACACTCCGGTCCTGAGTGAAGCTGGCCCAGTTGGGGCTCGTTCCTCCCCCTACAAGCTGGGGGAGAGACTGGCCACCAGGCAATTGCAAAGGGCAGGGAGGGGGCCCGGGCCGGAGAAGGGAAGCACAGCAGACCCTGAGCAGTCTCTGGGAGCCCCAGCAGTAAAGCAAGGAGACAGGAAGGCAACACAGGAGGCGGGTCAGAGAGGGAGGTGCAGGCAGGCAGCAGGCGCCCCGGCAGAGCCACAGCCCTGGGCAGACAGCTACTCACCTTTCTCCGCCTGAGCCGTACACGCCTCCTTGTATCATGTCTGTCTCCAAGTGTGGCACCAGATCTAAGCGCTGGTTAATTCTGGACAAAACGGAATCGGCACTGGCGCTACCCGCAGCACTAGGGTTTGCATTTGTGTCAGAGTTAGGCATTTCCCAAGAGTTTGAAGTGGCCATACCATACCCATAGTTGGTGGTGTTATCCTGGCCATAGCCGTAGCCATAGCCATAGTTCTCGTAGCCTGCAAGGAGGAAGACAGAGACGGACAGACAGAGATGGCAGGGATAGGGAGAGGATAGGCAGACAGAGACAGACAGAGAGACAAGGACATCTTCTGTCACAGAGACAAGCTGGGGACCCTAGCCACCCGAGGCTGGGTGGGTTTGGCCATTCCGCTGGGTGGGTCCCAGCCCAGGACCTCCTGTGAAAGAGTAGTTGGCCCCGGGGCCTCCAAAGGCACCTCCCAACACACTCTGGGCAAGCTGGGCAGTGTCAGAAACACACAGCCAGTTCAATCCCAAGAGAGAGGAGAGCAATCATGGGAATACTTGCCTCTGTTTGTCCCAGAGTTCCAAGTTCCATAGCCTACAAAAAGGAAAAGCACAATTACACCTACAATTGACTATAACAACAAAAGCTTAATTCAGGCACAAAGATGATGATTCCCAGTATCTGACTGGTGACAGAAGAATGAACCTCCCCTGAGAAGCCTTGAGCTTAAGAGCACTCCATAAACAAGCCAGGTCACCCTGTGCCCTGGTGTCTGAACTTCTGTGGCTCTGACCGTCTGCTACTTCCAGGGCCCCCCTTTGCCAACACCGCCAGCTGAGGAATCTGGCTCTCATACTCCTCCCTTGAGAAGCCAGAATTAGATTACCCCCACTTCCTGCTAAGCACCAGTCAGAGGAAGAGGAGAATGGTTTCTGGTGCCTCACACAGACTACGCTGTACAAGAAGTTCAGCACAGAGCCCACATCCACCATGAAAATCATGTCATTCAAATCACCCCAAAAAAGCCATATGGAAGAGAGAAACAGACTACCCTAGTCCCCCAAGTATATCCCTTAACAGGGAGGGCCACCAAGCCCTTGAATCTCGAGTGTGCTATGCTGAAACACGTTAGCAGAGGTAAGGACAAGACAATTCCCAGCTTGAGGAATGCTATTGAGAAAATAATCTGGATTATAAACTAAATATGCTCTGGATTTTATCACAGCACACAAGAAAAATTCATCCCTTCAGAAACATAAAGCCAGTGAGAACTGACGAAGTGCAAAGCCAAGTGGGAATTCCAAGTCAAGCAAACATGGTTCCTGCCCAAGGGAGTCCACCAGAACTTTTCCAGTGTCCTGGAGTCCCAGGATCGAGTCTCCTACTCCCTATTATCTCTACCCTGCAGACAGACAAGACATGCTCATCCCAGGGCAGGGACCAAAGCTCTGAGATGGCAGCGTGAGGAATGACAGAGTCCAGTCACAGGAGAGCAAGAGTGTATAAACTTGAAAAGAGGGACAGGGGCAGGCTGAGGTAGGTCCTACAGTTGGGTTCCTCCTTAATCCAGTGCATAAACAGAATGGGGAGGTGTCAGAAACCAGCAAAGAACCCCAGATGACCGTTATGTTTAATGCACCTTGGGCTCCAGAGAGCTCACAAAGCAAAAATCCTCTTGGTTGGGGAAGTCAAAGCAGAGGCTTCTCATTCATTCCTTTATTTAACAACTATCGTCATGAGTACACAGAGCAGTGGCTGGCAGTGCTGGGCAGCCCAGGGCACTGTCTGTTAAAGGAGACTCTTTTTTTTTTTTTAAAGATTTTATTTATCTGACAGAGACACAGCAAGAGAGGGAACACAAGCAGGGGGAGCGGGAGAGGGAGGAGCAGGCTTCCTGCTGAGCAGGGAGCCCAATGTGGGGCTTGATCCCAGGGCCCTGGAATCATGACCTGAGCCGAAGGCAGACGCTTAACGACTGAGCCACCCGGGTGCCCCTAAAGGAGACACTTCTAACTAGAAAGCAGCAAGGGACGGCCGGCAGCAGGAAATCACATACAAGACGAGTGGCAAAAGAGGAGTTCTGACAGGCAAAAAGAGAGGCTGCCAGAGGCAACCAAGGAATCATACACACTTAGCCCCAGCAACTAACAAGAGCCTGGTCACATGGTGTTTGCACCAGGAACAGTGGACACTGGCTATTCAAAAGGAGACAGGACTGGGAAGCAAAGGCAGACCCACTGGGACTCTGCTTATGAGGCCTGTGTATGGTCCTCCAGGGCTTTAGCTGCTAAAAATCTGCCAGAACAGAGCAAGGAAGTACAAGGAAAGGAAGCAGGAATGGATGCTAAACTGTAAACACAAGGACAGACAAGTGGACAGGTAGGTGATGGCCCTGTGACAGACAGGACTCAGAAAGCACTCTCCATGTGCTAGTTGCTATGCCCAGAGCAAATCAGACTCCCTGAAGGAGGCTTCTCAGCCAGGTCCCTTCGAAGGGGAAACCTTTATCTATATTATGAGGCCTAGGGAGTCCCCAAGACCTGCCCCTTCCAAAAGAACATCAGAGCTCACTTCCACCTCCAGAGGAGGATGAGACCAGTGTTGACATAGGAAATTTTAGGGACATAATTTTTTTTACGATTTTATTTATTTATTTGACACAGAGAGAGAGAGAGAGAACAAGCAGGGGTAGTGGGAGAGGCAGAAGCAGCCTCCCTGCTGAGCAGGAAGCCCGATGCAGGGCTTGATCCCAGTACCCCGGGATCATGACCTGAGCCAAAGGCAGACACTTAACCAACTAAGCCACCCAGGCACCCTGGGATGTAATTTTTTTTAGCAAGAGAAAAACAAACAGAAGAAAAGTAGATGTTCACAGTAAGCAACACTTATAGAACAAAAATATAAAACAATGTAGGGGCGCCTGGGTGGCTCAGTTGGTTAAGCAACTGCCTTCGGCTCAGGTCATGATCCTGGAGTCCCGGGATCGAGTCCCGCATCGGGCTCCCAGCTCGGCAGGGAGTCTGCTTCTCCCTCTGATCCTCCCCCTCTCATGCTCTCTGTCTCCCATTCTCTCTCTCAGATAAATAAATAAAAAAAATCTTTAAAAAAAATATATATAAAACAATGTAAATGTTCAACTTCAAGGAAGTTATAGCCTACCTTCTCAGTGACATACCTCATACAGGCATCAAAAAAGAATCCATTAAGCCTTATGTAGTACAAGGAAATGCTTCTAACAGTAAGCAAATCAAGCAGGATACACAATTCTATCCACCTATAAATTATTCAACTACTTAGAACAGGAATGCTGACGAAAGTATTAAAATGGTGGGATTGCAGTTGACTATTTTCCAAAATGTAATTAATTAATTAATTAATTAATTAATTTTTTAAAGATTTTATTTATTTGATAGAGAGAGACACAGCAAGAGAGGGAACACAAGCAGGGGGAGTGGGAGAGGGAGAAGCAGGCTTCCCGCGGAGCAGGGAGCCCGATGTGGGGCTCGATCCCAGGACCCTGGGATCATGACCTGAGCCGAAGGCAGATGCTTAATGACTGAGCCACCCAGGCGCCCCCCAAATGTAATTTAAATATTGTTATACTGCTCTTGCAATTTAAGCCAGAAGAAAATATAAAACCATTTTTATTCTTTCACACAATTGCCTACATAAAAAAACCTATACGAATTACAAAAATAAGTGAGCTTAGCAAGGTTTATTAGAAGGTCGATATATAAAAATCAACCCAATTTCTCCAAATTAGCAATGAACAACTGGAAACTAAAGTTTTTAAAAATACCATTTACCTTGGCACTAAAAATATGAAATACTAAGGTACAGATATAACAAACTATGTGCAGGATCTGTGTTTTGAAAACTACAAAACACTAATGAAAGAAATCAAAGATCTAAATAAATCAAATGACATTGTATTCATGGATTGGCACACTTAATGTCGTTAGCATGTTAATTCTCCCAAACGAATCTATAGATTCAAGGCCATTGGACTCAAAATCTCAGCAGGAATTCTTACAGAAATTGGCAAACTGATTCTAAAATTTATATGCAAAAAGAAAAGAACTAAAATATCCAAGTCAATTCTGGAAAAAGAATAAAACTGGAGGACTTGAATTAACTGATTTCATGACTCATTATGTAGTAATCAAGACGGACTGGTACTGGAGGAAATTCAGATACACAGATGACCAAAACAGAATTTGAGTCCAGAAACAGACCCACACATATAGGTTCAATTGATTTTCAACGAAGTTAAAAAAGAATCTTGACCTACACTGTATACCTTGTAGAAATACTAACTAAAAATAGATCACAGAACAGATGGAAAACATAAAACTAGGAAGCACCTAAAAGAAAACTCAGAAGACAATCTTGGTGACCTTGGGTTAGGCAAAAATTTCCTTCCTTCTTTCTTTTTTCATAAAGATTTTATTTATTTACCTGAGAGAGAAAGAGAGAGAGAGAGAGAGAGTGAGCAAGCACACACAAGCAGGGGGAGCGGCAAAGGGAGAGGGAAAAGCAGGCTCTCCGCCGAGCAGGGGGTCTGACATGGGGGCTCAATCCCAGGACCCTGGGATCTTGCCAGGAGCCAAAGGCAGACGCTTAACCTACTGAGCCACCCAGGCACCCCTAAGCAAAAATTTCTTAGATGCGACCCCCAAATCACCATATATTAAAGAGAAGACTGATAAATAGGACTTCATTGGCAGTATCGTAGCCAATGAAGTTTATCCAAGGCCCAATTATTGCTGATTGAAAGACACTACTGACAAGAGACTAGACAAGCCACAGACTGGGAGAAAAGATTTGCAAACGGTGCATCTGCTAAAATGCTTGTACCGATACTATGTAAACCAGAGGGAAAAGAATTCAAAAAAGCTGTGCAATCTGGGACAGTTTGATTAAAAGGGGTGAGGCAGATAGGGCAAGATAGGGAAGCCATACACACCAAGTTTCTCCTCATTTAGGAAACACCTGATACCTCCTTACTCAATTTCAAAACATTTTAAGTCTCCTTCTCCCCCTGGGACTGGCTGCTAATACTTCAGGGAGTTTATGTCCATGTATTCAGTGACTTTTGAGGCAGTGTCACAATGTAGGTTCAGTCTCTCCCCAGATCCTAGTAGTACAACAAGCTACCCACCTCAGCAAGCAAAGCATTATCTTTATTAATTCCAAAGAGGGCTCCTTCTCAGACATCTATGGTCACAGACCACAGGAAGTCCAGCATTTATTGGCAGTTAGGGGTTGCCAGAGCATACCAAGAGAACATCTACGGATTCTGTCGAGTGGCTATTTCTGAATTAGAAATTTAGTATGTCTGATCATGACTGAGAAATTGATTGGACATTTTCCTTCAACCCTGTGTGAGAAGCCTGCTGGCTTGAGATGGTCTGACTGTCTCTAAAACCCCTGCTAGATTCAGACAGGCAGCTTCTCTTTCATACAGGTCCCACACACTACCCTGAAGCTAAACTGATGGCTAGGTTTCTGATCAGACCAATCCTTTGGACTTTGATTGGCTACTCTCCTTCCCAGGCCCTCAAGGGGATTTTGTGAAGCCAGACCTTTGTCACAGACCATATGCACTTCTAACAACATGTTACAGGGTCAAAGGAACCAATCATTTACAGCTCCAAGAACTCCAGCTTACTCCGTAAGCAGGCATCTTTCCCATTACTGCCTCCAAGGGAAGCACTAGCTATTCTAACAGCCCACCACACTGTTTTACACAAGACTGCGTTTGGACAAGCAAGACAGTGAGAGCAGAATCAACGGCAACTGAGAAGACACGAGGCTGCTCTGCCACTAGAAGGCAGAGCACTCACCCTCTGGTTCCCAGGGGCCCACACTTACCATAATCACAGGTGGGCTGAGCGCTTGTGTCTGAGTATGTCGACTGCAAAGTGGTTTCAGATCCCTGGACAAAGCCTAAATACATGCACAGTGTGGTTAATTTCCCAAAACAAGCCACATGGAGATAACCTAAGACTACCCTTCAGTGTAGCCTGGCTGGCAGGCCGCCGCCCGCCCCCACAGTGGAAAGCCTCCAAACACTCTAGCTTCTCAACACTTTAATTATACCTCCAGAACATATTAGCTAATGAAAAGGCAGGCTATATTTAACTTGCTACACCAGAAGAACTGGATAAAAATGTTCAAACTTTTTAAACCAGTATTCAGTTTCGATAAATGAGTGCCCAAATTATTCAGTTAAATGAGGAAAATACTTATTTATCAAATGACCAAAAGGTGAGCTGCCTCCAATTCAAACAAGGATGGGGGTTGGTTCTGAACAATGTTAAGGCAAATATTACCCCTTCCCTTCCCCCAGATCTGAAACCAAAACTGCTCTGTATTTTTTAGTTTTCCCATTAAAAAATGTGTATAAAATGCAATTACTTGGGGTGAGCATGTTTTTACCGAACAATGTTATGCAGAGTATGCATATTATTTCCTACTTTCTCAACTTTTTTTTTTTTTAAGATTTTATTTATATGCCAGAGTGTGTGTGTACAAGCAAGGGGAGCATCAGAGGGAGAGGGAGAAGCAGGCTCCCTGCTGAGCAAGGAGCCGGACTCGGGGCTCCATCCCAGGACCTGAGGATTATGACCTGAGCCAAAGGCAGACACTCAACCGACTACTGAGCCACCCAGGTGTCCCCCAAACTATTTCTTGACTTAAGATGAATTAGTACTAAATAAGGAAAACTTGAACCTTTATCAGAAACTATTGCTCTTAAATGATGAATCCTGACACTATCTTTAAAATTACATTTACAAACATTATTTTTAAAAGATTTACCCTTAGCACTGGAACTACGATGGCTACCATAAGAGGCAATATTTGCCTATTCTCATCAGAGCCAATTCATGACCTAAAAATTAAAGCTAGTACCTTTAATAGCCCCCCCTTTTTTTTCTTTTTTACAACGAAAGCATACACCAAGTGCCTCCCCTGGGGTAGGCAGTTACATGTTGACAGTCTCTCTAGCTCATCTTTTAGGACCATAGCAACAAAGATGACCACAACAAAAGCCAACACTGAACAAGTGTTTCCCCTGCAGGGTGCTAAGAGCCTTATCTGCATTATTTTATTTCATCCTCATCACAGCCAACAAAGGGAACAGGGCCAAGATCCCTTACCCTGCAGTTCCCAAGTCCAAAAAGTCTGAAAACCAAGTGTTCTCCTCATATGTGGTGCCAACAGTCATTGTGGGACAAAACTGACCTGTGAGGACAATTACAATTTTTCTTTACCCAACCTAGTATAGAAAAAATGCATTTAATTACAGGGTGCTGCCCCAGACCCCAGTGGGGGTGTTGTGGAATGTCCTTCTCTCAAGCTAGAATTCCAAAATATACCCAGCTCCAAGGGTTTCAAGTAAAGATCAGTGGACCCACACTTTATCTTTACTTCCCAGAGAAAGGAATTGAGACTTGGTGCTGGGGAAGGAGAAAGGCAAAAGTAACCACGCTAACCTTTTTTTACCTTCCCTAATTAAAGAGGGTAAGTTACAATGGATTCCCTCCAGGGACCAAGGACCTTCCCAAGATGCCTACATCCTAAACAATGTCCACAAGAAATACTGAAAGCATGTTTTGGATGGTTCATTTGTGGGGAAGCCCCACAGTGTAAAAATTAATACCCTACACCTACCTTCTCCACTGTTTGCTTAACTAGCTTCCAGAAACCTGTCTGTTCAGCAATACAGCCACCAGCAAAATGGTTCCAGACTTCAGGTAACATGGTTTAAACATACTGCAGCTGCAGCTGGAACCACCACACCCTGACAGGAATACTAACTGGAACATAGTATGAAAGCTGCAGAGCAAAGAATCTATGTCTATTCAAGGGAGAGGGGCCCTCCTTCTTCCCTGGGAAAAAGGAAACATAATCCACCAAACCTTCAGAGGTCAATGGCAACCTCTGCTCTAGTTCTGTCCTCCCCATGTTAACATCTTTTTGCACAGTACTGTCTCCAGAGCGGGATCTTCTTTAGCAAGTTATGCTTCAATTATGAATAAATTCTTATCTGGCTTGTAAATCCTTCTCTTCTTGGTTTGATTTACCACCCTGAACAGCTCTGGGTGAAAAAATAAGTGTTTGGCCCTAGAAAGCTAAGGGGCAGACCATGGATTTATGATAATTACACACCATAATCCCTCCCTCCCTCTTGGTTAGACTGTGACACCTTTTTCACTCAAAAATACACAAAGCTGGGGTGCTGGGTGGCTCAGTTGTTAAGCGTCTGCCTTCGGCTCGGGTCATGATCCCAGGGTCCTGGGATGGAGCCCCGCATCGGACTCCCTGCTCAATGGGAAGCCTGCTTCTCCCTCTCCCTCTCCCACTCCCACTCCCCCTGCTTGTGTTCCCTCTCTCGCTGTCTCTCTCTGTCAAATAAATAAATAAAATCTTTAAAAAAAATACACAAAGCTTCTCAATTTTATTCCTTTCCTTCTTTTTTTGAAAGGGGATTCTTTGAAGAAATGACAGAAAGTGATAAAAACTAGAGGACAACTGGAATGAGGTTAGATTGACTCCAACCTCTACCATCTGGTGGTAACCAGCCTCCAAGATGGCCTCTACTGATTATTGCTTCCTAAAATTGCTGTCCCTTCCCAAACTAATACAGGTAGCCAGTGTAACCAGTAAGATTGCAGAAATGACTGAGTAGGACTTTCAAGGCTTCTGCCTTGCTCTCTTTTAGATCATGCACTCTGGGGGGAACCAGCCACCATGTTGTAAGGACCCTCAAACAGGCCTGTGGAGAGGCCCACATGGTGAGGAACCAACAGCTAGCATCAACTCGCCAGCCATGTGAGTTTGAGTCATCCTGGAGGTGGATCCTTTAGCCCCGATCAAGCCTTCAGATGACTATAGTCCCAAGTGACAACCAAAATGTAGAGAGATCCCAAGCCAGAACCATTCAGCTAAACCCCTTACACACTCCCAACACAAACTGTGTGAAATCAATGTTCTTTTATTTTTATTTTTTAAGATTTTATTTATTTGACAGAGAGAGACACAGCGAGAGAGAGGGAACACAAGCAGGGGGAGTGGGAGAGGGAGAAGCAGGCTTCCTGCTGAGCAGGGAGCCCAATGCAGGGCTCGATCCCAGGATCCTGGCATCATGACCTGAGCTGAAGGCAGACGCTTAACGACTGAGCCACCCAGGCACCCCAAAATCAATGTTCTTATAAAAGGTTTGGTAGTGTTTGAAGGCCTGATTTTAGATTTTTCTGTCCTATTTTCCCATTGCTCCCATCCTTCCCCTCAGTGCCAGAGAGGGGAAGTACACATAAAGTAACTAGGTTCAAAAGCTGGACAAGTTATCAAAAAGATAAATTATTTTAATCACCTCCTATGCTTGATAAAATAATGGTAACATTTGCTTCAAGGCCTCCAGAACTCCTTCTTAAAGGCAAAGAAATTGTTTGAAATGTGACTTAAAATGTTTTTTTTACTTTAGTGGTCTGCTTCTTAAAAGGGAAAGACTCACATTATAAAGCTGCTATGGTTTTTAGTTGATCAAGATCAAGGAAAAAATAATCATTATCTCATTACCTTGGTTCCCTCAGTGAGCCAAGAATTAAAGCCTACAAGATCTGGAGTTGAAATTCAGACCTGGCCATTAGTGACCTCTCTAACTCTAGTCTCCTTGTCTATAAATCTAAATGCTCCATTATTAAGCTACTTCACAGCACCCAACCATTCATCTTCTGTTTTTTTTTTAGCAGTCCTGTCTCTAAAAACCAACAAACCGTCTTCGAGTTCTTGGTCAGACTTGGTGAAAAGGATTACGTCTCAATTCCAGAGATGGCAGCAACAACCCTACTGACTTTTCTCCTGAACCAGGAAAGCCACACCAAAGGCTGGGGCAAGGCTGTCCAACCTTGGAACTACTGATATTCCCGGCTGGATAATTTATTGTGGTGGGGGCCGCCCTGGGCATTATAGGATGTTTAGCAGCATTCCTGGCTTCTATCCACTGAATGATGGTAACAACTCCACTCCCAGATATGACAACCAGAAACACTGCAAACAATGCCAAATGTACTGGGGGGTGGGGGCAGGAGGGCAGAATCACCCCGGGTTGAGAACCACTGGGCCAAGGGGTGGTTGCTTGAAAAACCAGGGTTCTTGCGAAGCTCCTCACCTGGGGGCCAGAGGAGGGACCCCTGGCACTACTTCTTTGCTGAGTCTAACATAAAACAGCCTACGGAACAGCACCAGAGGAGGATCCAGTATCATTGTCAGTCCCGAACATTCCAAGGAGAATGCAGGTTACCCAGCAACCGTACTTGCTCGGGCCTAATACCCCCGTCAAAGGGGAGGCCTAGTCTACGGCTCCCGGCTGAGAAGCTTCATGTGTTACTGCCAAGGCAAACCCAGGCGGCCTTTCAGATTCCTCCAGGGATAATTCACAACCGTCCAAGCATAGCCCAGGGCCCCCTCTCCGATCTCATCATCCACCCTTCCCTCTTTGCTCAAATCCCACTCGCCTCGCTAGCTGATCTCCTAACAAGCCAGGCGGCTTCTGCTCCTGGCTCTTCATGCCAACGGCACCGCGGGCCAGACATCCTTAACTCCCTCACTCCGTTCAGGTCTCTGCTCAAACGTCACCTCTTTACGTTGACCCCAACCCCCCCCCCCCCCCCCCCCCGCAAACGAGCAAGCCCCTCGGCTTACTGAGCGCGGAGGATATCCTACATTCATTGGTTTTCCTGTTAAGGTCCGCCCATAAGCTGCTTGAGGATTTCCTGTCAATTTCCCAGGGCCTGTTCAGCACCTGACGCTTTGACTCTGACAGATGGTGAATGAATTAATGGAAAAGCCGGCCATTCCTCTCAAGGCTCAGGCTCAGCCCCAGCCCCCTGGGCCCAAGGTTCCCTCGCTCATCGCCCTGGGGCCTGGCGCCTCTCCCAGCCTGGGGCAGGCAAAGGGGCTGGGGGGTGCGTAGCTGCGGCATTTTGCAGGGAAACGGCGCGGGGTAGGCTGCGGCAATGGCGACGGCAGCCCAGCCCGCTGCCCGATCTGAAGGGTTAAGGCCTGAGGAAGGGCGACCGGAGGTCCGTAGATCCGAGGAGACCGGACCTAGGCCGGAGGTGAGGGGCTCAGAGAACGCAGACGCTCAAGCCGGGGCCCTCGGATAGGCGACAAAGGCCAAGACCTTGGGCGGCCGGGAGCCGGACGCGAGGCCCGGAGCACAAAGAACTGAGGCGCCAAGGCGTGAGCGGGGCGAACCTGAGGCGACGGACCCGCGGCGCCATTTTGTGACCGCAGAGAGGGCAGCGTCCCGGCCCCTGGGGAGGTGCGGGCGAGCACGGTGCGGCTCTGGCACGTCCCTGTCCCTCCCCACCCGAAGCCCGACCCCAACCCTGCGGGCCCACCTGTATAGCTCATGGCAGCAGCGAACACTGCACCCGAGGACTCAGGCAGCTGTCCCACACGTCCGACGCCGGGATAGCGGCGACAATCCCGAGTCCCTTCTAAGACGACCGAGCCCCACCTCCCGGCCCCATTGGCTCGCGTCGGACTCTGGATTTACTCCTATTGGATGAGAGCGCTGTCTATCCCAGCCCACCCTCATGTCAGAGACTGATGGTGCTGCCGGTCTCGTGAGAGCCCCGCCCCCCGTCATCCCAAGCTCGCGATGATTGGCTGAGAGAAGAGGGCCGGGAGACGGAATCTTGCAGAATTCGAAGGGGCGGAACTGTGTACTACGGGAAGACCTGAGGCCCAAGCGCGGCTGGGCTCGGGGAGCGCGGGTGCCCTGGAGGACCGCCAGAGGGAGCCGGAACTACCGCCCAGGGCACTGTTCCAGTCCCGGCCCTGCTACTGAGGTGCGGTACAAACCTAGGTTGTTAACTTCTCTGGCCTTCAGCTCCAAAAACGAGCACGGTATGGCCATGCTGGAACGAAAATTACAACTAAGCGCCAAACAAGATGCTCGGCACACGTTCAAACATACGAGATAATGTATGTAAAGAAATCAGTCCAGTGCCGGGTGCACTGTTACCTTTTGTTGTTAATCGTTACATAATGATAACGGATAAATTTATATAGCATGTTTATATGGTATATGTAATAAATATATATGTATTGTTTATCATCTCAAATGCTCCCCTCATACCTGCAAGGTCCTTTTTTTTTTTTTTTTAAAGATTTTATTTATTTATTTGAGAGAGAGCGTGAGCACGAGAGGGGGGAGCGGGAGAGGGAGAAGAAGACTCCCCGCTGAGCGGGGAGCCCGATGCGGGACTCGATCCCGGGACTCCAGGATCATGACCTGAGCTGAAGGCAGTCGCCCAACCAACTGAGCCACCCAGGCGCCCTGCAAGGTCCTTTTTAAAGAATTTCCCATTTAAAAGATAAAACTGAGGCTTGGAATTCATGACTTGCCCTAGGTCCTTGGTACTTAGGTGTTAAAGCTTGAACTTCAGGACTTTAGAGATCTTGTAATAGAGCAGCCTGGCGCCAGCCCTGTCTCCTCAGCATCCTCATTGGATGTGTGGAATCCACTTTCCGAGACTAGGAGATGATTTGACAGAATTGCAGACATTGAAAACGGTATTTACATCTGTTTGTGAAAACTCGTCAAACTGAGTACAATTATGGCTTGTACGTGGTTTTTTGTTGTTTTGTTTAAAAGTTTGCTTTAAAGTATGAGCAATGTTGCCGACTTCTTGATATTAAGGAATTGTCAATCTCTTTAGGTGTCATAATGGCATATTTAAAAGTACCTATCCTTCAGAGAAAGGTTGAAATATTAATTCACATAATGACAAGTATGTGTTTCACCATAATTCAAATGGGAAAAGGGAAGGAGGGTGTGGAAGGCTTATAGATGAAGAGCTTGGTCTTGAGTTGGTAATTGATTAAGTAGATGAGGGTTCATTTTACTATTTTTGTATGGTTGGGATTCTCCATAAAATATTTTAATAAAACAACCCCTCCCCTAAAAATGGTTTATGCAGAACTTGCTGCCACATGGGACAAGGCTAATGATGCGTTGAGAAACTCCAAATATGAAGCACATAAAACTGATTAACGTGCACACCAGCCTTGGGGCTCACTGAAGTGTCATGCTCAGATGCCTGCCTGTTCTCCAAATTAAAGCTGAGCCCCCAGACACCTCTCGTGGATCCTACAGCTTCCTTCATGGCGCATACCACAGCCGTTTTACCTTCATTTGGGTGATTTTGTTAACATCCTATGCTCTGCCTCTGAGACAGAATGGCCTGAGAAGGGAAGGGGTATGCTCAAAATTTTAGGAAAAGATCCCTCTGAGCTAAGAACAGTATGCCACCCTTTCAAGGACCTACACAGCTATCACTGCATGTGTGGGTGGGGAGGAACTTCCCATGTTACTTTATAAGGTCTTGTGCCATTTGAACTTTTTTTTAAATCCAGCTTCCATCACTTTTATGTTTTTAAAATAATTTATAAAAAGCTGAAAGGGGAAGTGCCTATGGGCCAGCTCTCATCCCAAGAGATGCCCTCCCTGCCTTCAAAGTCTTGGACATGCCCACTCACAGCGTGGGACGGACAGAAGTGGTTGAGTCCTTCCACCAGGTGAGATGTGTGCCCCAACCTCACTGGACCAGAAAAGCCAAGAGTGCAGGCCAAGACCACTCTCATGGGCATGTTATCGCAGCTTGTTAGCCTGTCCCTCCCAGGCAGGGGCATGGTGGGAGGCCTGGGGCAATAGCATTGGGGGTAGAGGAGGCCTCTACACTCCATGAGGTTATTTCCACTTTCCAGCCCTTGGCCATCGAAGTGAAAATGATGAGCTGAAAAACCACATGCAATAAACAAGAAGGAGCAGCCAACAAAATCTCTTAAAATCTCAGAAATGTTCAATAAACATTTGCAGAGCGAGAAAATAAATAACATTGCGAAGGAGCCAACAGCTCCGTTTTCCCCTCGTGTGATTCGGGTTCAGGGTGCCTGTGTCTCCAGACAAGTCACATGTCTTGAAGGCAGGCTGGCCCCAGTTCTCTGAAGGCTGCCAGCAACTGTGCGCCCTCCCCCCACCCGGCAGGTCCCCCACACCCTCACTGGACAGCTCCTGCCCTTGGAGAGCCCTTCCAGCTTCATCACTTCATCCTGGCTCCCTTCCTAGACCAGCTGCCCAGAGTCTTGGTTCCTCTCCACTGCTCACGGGAGCTGCTTCGCCAGCCAGCCAGCTAGCCAGCCAGCCAGAGCCCCCCACAAACCATGCCATTGAGGGCCAACAGCTGGGGACTTGGGCTTATCCCCAGCTGGGTCTGGTCAGCTTGGCAGCCAACAGGAAAACCCAGGGCCTCCAGGGGCTCTGGGAGGAGGCGGCTCGATCCCAGCCCCGGCTGCCAGGCGATGCCAGCCTGTCCACTCGACAGAGAAACACACGCTGGCCGCCTGCCCTGGGGTGTTTCCAGAAGAGAAATTTAATCTAATTTACATACTTCTAGGTACATCGATAACCAAAATGTGGCCACTGAAAAAAGTTAAAAGGTCAATCAGCTCCCGGTCTCTAGCTGGCCCAGGATTGCAAAATAAAAAGATCCACGTTCCTTATTCTCTACACAAAACGCGTTTTTAAAAAAGTGAAAGGTCTAGGGAGCTATACATAGAAAGCAACAGTGAAAAGAGGGAGGGGAGTGGGGGTGGGGGAGGAGAGTCCCATCCCCACCCCCTCCTGGGCCCCGGAGTCCCCCAAGGCTGTGGGGGGGCCTTGACATGGCAGGAGGCAGCTGTCAGCTCTGAGCTCTTCCAGGCTGGGAAGGCCCCTCTGGTTGGGGGGGGGCGGCCAATAAGGATTTCCGTGGCATCATGGGCTCAGTGGGGGGCTCCCAGGCCCCAGCAGGCCCTCAGAGGGAGCGTGCCTTCCCCTGAGCAAGCACCGTGGCATGATGTGGTCGTTTGACTCAGGAACTGGGGGGCTGGGGCAGATCCCGGGTCTCACGAGGTGCGTGTGTGCATGTGTGTATGTGCGTGTCTGTGTACATGTGTGCGAGGATATTCACAGGGGCAAGAGGGAACCAAGACAGGGGTCTTTGGGGTCTTTGCAAATGGCCACGGATGGCAAACAGCCCCGCCTGGCTGCTAGATGCGGGGGGAGCGCTGGCCTTCCTCCCCTTGACCAGATCAGCTGCCACCACAAGAGACCTGGCCTCTCCCCCTGCTGGACCAGGTGGGCACACGCTGAAGGAAGATGCGCTGTGTGTGGCCCCAGAGCCCTCGGGCTGGGGGAAGGGCCGCTAGCTGGCTCCTGGTGCCCCGGCTGTAGTGTGCCCGGCCCCCAAGGGGTACCGGTTTGAGGTTTTGGCTTGCTCCTTTGGAAACGGAAAAGAAAGAGGGAGGAGAGGGTGGAAGAGACGGAGGAGAAAGAGACGGAGGTGGCACGAGAGGGAATTTGGAATGCTTCTGTGTTAGGGCGCGTCTGCCGCCGCTGTCTGTGCCTGCAGGGCCCGGGGCTCCTCAGGCGGGGGGTCCGCTTTGGAGAAATTCATCTCCAGGATGTGCCGCTGTAAGTGCCGCACCCACTCCTCCTGGATAGAGAGGGGCCCCTGGAATTCCACCTCACAGAACCTGTGTGGAGGAACAGAAAAAGAGAGAAGAATGGCCACTGCATGAGGAGAGGCAGATGTGTAGGCCTGCCCCTGTCCCTGAGCATCGGGCACTCCTGCCACTACTCAGCGTGGAGAGAGCCAGCCAAGAAGTTCAGGGACGGGGACCCAGACGCCACATGTTTCCTCACAGACAGGTACCTGTACCCATCCCAGGATCACGGTAGGGTCCCCTAATGACCCCCATCTCTACGCTCAGGGCAGTCTGCTGGCTCTGATGCTGGGGAAGTGCCATCGGGCTTCCCAAGTCCCTCTGCCATCTGACTGAAGGATGTGATCTGAAAGGGGAGAGAGCCCAGAGAGGCAGGCCCTACCCCGCCAGGCTCCAGGACAGAAGGACAGCAGCTGGGGAAAAGGGGTTGGGCACTAACTCACACCCACCCTGCTCATGCACCCAACTCACCAACTCCCTGCGCTTGAGGGAGGCCTCAGTGAACAGGGGCCCAGGACCTGAGCTCGTGGCTCTGAAGACTTGAGTTCAAATCTTGCTTCTGACTTGGCCTATGTGGCCTGAGGCAGGCCACCTTAAGTCTCAGACCCAGTTTCCTGGCCTGGGATGTACGCCTGGACTTTGGTAAAAATGAACTAAGACCTAGATTTTCCTTAATCAGGCAAACACTCACTGAGTGCTTACCCTATGTTAGACATAGTTCGAGTGCTTTATAAATATTCAATTTTTTTAATCCTCACAGCAAATCTGTTATTAACCCCATTTTATAGGTGGGAATATTGAGGCATGGGGCAGGAAGTCCTTGCTCAAGGTCAACCCTCAGGGTCCCAGCTTAATGCTCTGAGGTGCCGCTGTCTGTTGAGAAGTCCTTAGCCTGGGTCCAGCCACACTTTAAGGCAGTCCTTGAGGCTGTATCTCCTGACCCCCACCAACCCATCTTGTTCAGAGGCTCTGGGTGACCAAGCCCCAGGTGGGTGGACT